TTAATTCTATGTGGCCTTAAACTGTTGGTAAGCGCTATCGAGTCAGTTCCAACCCACAGAGACCCAGTATAGGGTTTCTGAGGAGCAGCTGGTGTGCTTAAACCACCAGTTCAAATAGACTTTGCAGCCCAGCGCATTAGCCCACAGCACCACACCAGGACTTAAATTGTTGTTGTTGTTAAGTGCCTTCGAGTTGGTTCCAACCCATAGCGACCATGTACAGGGGTTCTGGCTGTAAATCTTTACGGGAGCAGAAAGCCTCTTCTTTCTCCCGCAGGCAGCTGGTAGTTTCGAACTGCTGACCTTGCGGTTCACAGCCCCATTAGTAACCACTACGCTAAGCCCCATTAAATCTACAGTAATCGGAACCTGTGCCTCTGCTCAGTACTGTTATCACTTTTAATACAGCATTATAGGAGCTCTGGTGACACAGTGGTTAAGCATTCAGTGGTTAACCCAAAAGTCAGCGGTTCAAACTCACCAGCAGCCCTGTGAGAGAAAGATGTGGCAGTCTGCTTCCATCAAGATTACAGCTTTGGAAGTTGTATTAGGCAATTCTGCTATATCCTACTGGGTTGCTACAAGTTGGAATCATGTGTTTAATGGTTTAATGGCAGTGGGTTTAATACTGCATTTGGCACTGAGACCTCCCAATCTCAGTTACTTGAGAAACTTAGACCATCTCAGCTGCCCTTTTCCCAAAAAGAAGCCTTGAGCTAAAGCTAAAACTATTCATATGCTGACACCCAGGCTGTCGGCATATACAAATGAAGCTCACTGGCCCTTTCCAACCCACCTCCAAAAATGTAAGCACATCACATCAGACCCCTGCTAAAGCCCTTTCCATGAATTTTCACTGGTCTCAAATTCAAATGTGCATAGTGAAAGAAGGCTTCCTTTAAATCTGGGAAGAGGAGCTACTCGATTTTATAAAAATGATATAGTAAAACCAAAGAAAGCCAGAACCTGTGTAAGAGAAGTAAAGTTCAAATACTTCCACTGAAAGAGCAATCGAAAAATGGTAAGACTGTCCCCAGTCAAAGGTGATAATTTGTAAGACCTGGAAAAACAAAGCTGCCCCCATCAAGTTCTGACTTTCACAGGTTTCATTGTAATATCAAGAGCCCCTAAGAATTATCTTAGGGAGGCCAGGTGTGGTGCTGTAGGATAAGCATTAGACTGCTAACTGTTTAAGGCTGGTGGTTCAAACCCACCAGTCATTCCTCGTAAACCCTATACAGAGTCACTATGAGTCAGAACTGACTCCATGTCACTTAACCACAAGAGTGATCTATTTGGTGACAAAGCTCCCAGATTGTTGTTGGCTGTTGTTAAATGTTGTGGAGTCAGTTCCTACTCATAGCAGCCCTGTGTAAGGTTGCCAAGGTGCGGCTGGTGAGTTTGAACTGCCAAACTTCTTTTTCAAACCAACCTTGCAGTCCAATGCTTTGTCCACAAAGACTCCATAAATTCTCTGATTGTTGTTGTTAAGTACCATCAAGTCAGTTTGAGTCCGTTCTGATTCAGTACAGGGTTGCCAAGGAGCAGATGATTAGCTTGAAATACAGACCATGTGGTTCAAACAGACTTTGCAGTCCAGCACATAACCCACAGTACCACACCAGGACTCTTAAGCTCCCAGATTGTTGTTGTTGTTAAGTGCCATTGAGTCGATTCCGCTTCCAGCTAGGTATAGGTAAATTAATTTTGTTTGTCTCCCACAGTTGTTGTTGTTGTTGTTGTTAAGTGCCATCGAGTCGGGTCCGACCCATAGCGACCCTGTACAGGGTTTCCGAGGGTGTAAATCTTTACGGGAGTAGAAAGCCTCATCTTTCTCCCGCGGAGCGGCTGGTAGTTTCGAACCGCTGACCTTAAGGTTCGCAGCCCGATTCGTAACCACTACGCTACCAGAGCAAACCCCAGAACAATGCCTAGCACACAGCAGAAAGTCAAAAAAATTCCAAGTACTACTAATCCAAAACAAAACCAATCTTGTGTCTGCTGACTAAAACTTCTAGCAATGTTCTTAGTTTATCAGCCAAAAACAAAAGGTTTGGTTCATAGTATACCGGTTTTAAAGTTTTCCAGTTTCAAAAGCTTTCCATAACAATTTGGTGGTTCTTCAAAAAGTTAAGACGCAGAAATATAATAGCCAAAAGGTGGAAACCACCCAAAAGGCCAACAACAAATAAATGGGTAAATAAAATGTGGTGCATACAAACAAGGGACTAATACTTCATTCACAAAGAGATAGGAAGTCCTGAGAATGTAAGAGCATGAATGAAACTAGAAAACATGCTGAGTGAAATGAGTCAGTCACAAAAGGAGAACTATTTTATGGCCACACTTACATGAATTATCTAGAATAGGCCAGTATATAGAGACCAAAGTTTACAGTGATTATCAGAGGTGGGTGTGGGCAGAAAGCAACTTATTGCTTAGGGGACTCTAAGTCTCTGTTAAGCGTGATGGAAAATAAGGAAACAAATAATGGTAACAGTTGAATAACACAAACGTAACACACTGAATTGTACATGTGAAGGATGTAGAAAAAGCAAAATGTTTTGTTACAAATGAATTTACCACGTTAATAAAAAATTCTCCCACCCAGAACCTTTTGAGATAGGACATTCCCACTAGAAAGGACAAGCAGACCAGCCTGGACCAGATAGAGCGACAGAAGATATATCTTCAAAGAAAGACCATCAGGAAAAACCCAAAACAAAAATGGCAGTACAAGTGGCTACTACAAGAATACGCAAGTTGTACGCTGGGAAGCCATCAAGGAAAGCAATCAAGTTCCTTCAGGACAAATCTCACTCTAAGGCTGAAACTCAAAGGGAACACATGAGCAGGCATGTAAGCTTGCTGGTGCCCATGTTGGTCTACTGGTGAGTGGAAGAGGGGGAAAGGCAGCAATGAAGAAATGGTCTGAGTTCAACCATGTTCCACAGATTCCCATTGACCTAGAGATGAGAGAGAGAAGAGGAAGGGCTGTTTGGTCCAAAGAGTGGTGAGACCTGGGGACACTTGAGCCCATGGACAAGGACATAGCCACAGAGGGCTACAGCTGAGAGTGAAGCATCCAGCTGATATGAAGTGAGAGGAGTCACACAAGAACACCCAAAGTTGCAAATAGTACCCATTTGACCTAGCATCGATGGCTTGATAATCAGAACTTGACTAAATGAAGATTAAAAAGAAAAAAAAAATTTTTTTTGATAAAAGAAACAAGGATAAATTGCTACAATTTGATGAACCTGACCTTTACTCATGGAGACAGTAACTCTAAATACCAACAGAAAAGGAAGGAGTCTACACATCAAATATCAATGCTATCCCCTCTGTACACAGGGTAGATAGGGATGGGCAACTTAGGCATTGGCTACCTAAAATGAGGGGGTGATAAATGAGGCATGAAGTGACTGGCTTATAAGGTTTCTAAGGGGTGTTTAGCTTAATAGTGTGTGGAGGAAGAAAGAATCTTCACTGAATAGTTTTTATCTTGTATAGATGGGACTGGTTAAAAGAGATGGGGATAAGATTCTTATGATTCAATAGAGATTGTTATCATGACTGATTGCAATTATCACAATTGTAAAGGTAGAAGTTTTGTAACAAAAATGGGGGAGTAGTTAATCTTACAGTCCAGAAACAAAGGACCCTAAGACCATCAAGGGAGAAGAGCACAAGTGGAATGTGAGACCTTATCCAGAGAAGCAGCAACACCAGAGATGGAGGCAGAGATGGGGACATGGAGAGAGGGAGCAGCTGAGGACTCTAGACTCATGAGAAGAGAGGGACTAAGAGCTAGCGGCCAGAAGGCAGACTTGCAGAATGTGCCTTTTGGTGGTGTAAATTATTATATATGCCTGAGTGTTAAAAAAAATAAAGCTAAAGTGCCTAGAGAGAAATACTGTTAACCGAGGGTATATGGAGGGGATTATAATCATTGTAATTAAACAAGGTATATGATTTGTTGAATGTAAAACTGATAATCTGCCCTGTAAACTTTCACTCAATTCACAAACCCTTAAAATAAATTATTAAAATTAAATAAAAAATTCTTAATAGTATAAAGAAATATGGATAATCAAAGGGAAAAACAGCCCAAAACCTTTTAAGCTATTAATAAAATACATCTTAAAAGAAAGATGGAGTCCTGTTGTAGCACTGTGGGCTAATGCATCAGACTGCAAAGTCATTTGAACTGCAAGGTTGGTGGTTCAAGCTCACCAGCTGCTCCTTGGAAATCCTATACAGGGTCACTATGTGTTGGAATTGACTTGACGACACTTAACAACAACAAAAGAAATATACCCATAGAAACCATTCTTTCCCCTAAGCCACACAAACCCAGGCAGGACTGAAAGCAGGGAGGGGGAAAACGTCAGACCTTTCTGGCTGCACTTCATTTCTGTGACTATGGGGATTCAGTCTTCCTGAAAAGCACACCTCCACCCATACCCGCAAGATTTTAACAAGCTCTGTAAAATGCTGCTTAGTCTTAACAACAGCATCTCTTTACAAAACATGGCGCAAGGAAAGACAAAACATAAAATATGTGCAAAGCTTGATGGTAATAATAATGAAAAATCGAAAACATTTCAGATGACTAACAAAAGGATGAAGCATTGGATGTAGTATCAACGACTGGACTATACAGTCACTAAAAATAACTATATGGATTACACTGACACTTTACGTATATATACTACAACAGAATATTTATTTAAATGCAGAAAATAACAAAACCCCCAATTCTGTACTTTACACATGATAAATGTTGTTAAATGCTGTCGAGTCAGTTCCGACCCATAGCGACCCTCTAGAGGGTTGCCAAGGAGCGACTGGTGAGCTTGAACCACCAACCCTGTAGTTAAACTGACTTTGCAGTCTAGCACATTAACCCACAGCACCACACCAGGACTCCATGATAAATTTAGAAGGCCATAAAATTGATGTTTTACCATCCCAAATCAATCTACTATCAAAATCACCTGTGTTTGTGAAAGCTGAATGCTCTGAACCTGTGGAAGCAGAAAGTAAGCGTTGGGGAGTGGCTTTGCAGACTCTTCCAAAGAGATTCTGCGAGTGCCAATTCCAGATACCTGCAGGAGGGATTGAAAAAAAAAGAATTACTCATCTGTTAGAGCTTTAAAACACAGCTTTCATAATGCCAAAAGAGCTTTCCAAAGAAAATCTATATTCATTAGTTGGCCTTTAAGATTTTGTTACTCTAGCCAAATTATAATTTTGTCTCCAGATAATACAATGAGAATTGCTATTATTTCAGCTGAATGTTCCTCACTGTAGCAAATCTTTGACAAATAGGTAATTCTTTTGACACGGGGCCACTAGTTAATAAGAATTAACCACCAAAATGAATGATCTTGGCAAATAAATTACTTGGTGACATTTTGATGGTAAAATGTAACAGGTACTACATAAGGTAAAGAAAGTGTCCCCTTTTTTTGTGAAGAAAAGATGCTTCCTGCTCCTTTCCTACTGCCTTAATATTTAGTGACCTCCATGGGAACTGGCCTCCAAGCACACAATCAATGCTTCCTGAGTAAATCAGAAATATTCCAGGGCCAAAGAGGGAAGGTAAGTAGAATAGCTAGAGGTTGCCCCTATAACTCCCTCCCTAACTAGTATGTAAGAGTGCTGGTGAGGTGCTGTAGGATTAACACTGGACTGCTCACCGAAAGGATAGTAGTGGTTTAAACTCACCAGCAATTCCTAGGAAACTCTTTACAGGGTTGCTGTGAGTAGGAACCAACTTGACAGCACTTATCAACAATGACAGCAAAAACCCTGAGTTCTGAAAGTCTTCTATTATTTTATACTAGAAACTAAGTATGATAGATTTGTTTTATTCTAATATCCTCCCAAAGATTCAGTGTGAGGGTTACAGCTGTTCTCCATACTGAACACAGCAAATGTTAGCATGTGAGGTAGAAGATAAAAATTGGTGAGTTCAATGCCATTAGGAATCTTACATTTTATTGACATAAAGCATGGAGCTGACATTTCCAAACATCTCTATTTTATTTAAGTATCCAACCCCTTTGTTAATATCAAATTATGTGAACAAAGGAAAAGTTACTTACATGATAGGAAAGGACTCCTAATGAAGAGGTATTAATAAATAAAGAACTTTCAATGCTTCCTTCTTCAGTAGGTAAGAAAATAATTCTGAAAGAAGTTTTTCCCATTGCTGGAATGACCTGGGTGGAGGGGGAAAAGGTACCTAATTAGCTATTTGGAATGCTATGCCTTTTTGATAAATTACCTTTCACAGACTTTCTTTTTGGTGACACTGTTAACAGATGTTTGCATACTCTACACCCCTGATTTATAAGCATCATGAGTCCCTGAGATTCTCCAAACAGTTCATCATCCAACCTCCTCAGAGACTATTTCAAAGACTAAAACCACAGACATAAGGCAAGATAGTTGACAAGTTTTTTCACTTCATATTGGAATCATATGTCTCACATCTTTCCTTTCCCTTTTCTTCCTTACTCACATGTTTTCCTTACTCACATGAAGGACAGGCTTTAACACTGTTCTATCTCTACTTAAGTGCAGAGACCAATCGATATACAAACATGGTAATCCTTCATAAAAATCAAGACCAACATTACCTGGACAGATTGTCATAGGCAAAATAATATTAGCCTCCTCTTTACCTTACCCCACTTCCTTAGTCCCAGCATTAAAAATAAAATAATAATAATAGTACATCTGCACAGAGAAGGAAAGCGGAGCCCCGGTGGTCAGTGGTTAAAGCATGTGGCTGCTAACTAATAAAAAAGATCATCAGCTAGTACTCCACTGACTCCTCAGTGGGAGACAGGTATGGCACCCTACTTCCATAAAGATTGTTGTTGTTGTTAAGTGCCTTTGAGTCAGTTCTGACTCATAGTGATCCTGTAGAGAGTTTACAAGCAGCAGCTGGTGGGTTTGAACTGCTCACTTTACAGTTTGCAGTCCAGTGCTGATCCTTGGGAACCCTATGGGCAGTTCTATTCTGTCTTACGGGGCTGCTAATAGTCTGAACTGACTCAATGGTGATGGGGTTTGGTTTGGTTTATATATATATATATATACACATACACACACACGAGGGGGGCTGAAAAAGTTCGGGGAAAATTTAACTATTTGTTAATTCAATTTTTCTACAAATTTTAAGCTCCTCCACGTATACAAGATCAAGCCAACATAAGTAAGCAAAACACAAACTAAAAATAGACAAGTCTACCAGCAATTAAGATCTTCATTACAAACTTTATAGAACTTTGTAAGCCCTCTATCAGAGCCCTGGCACTGTGGGTTACGCATAGGGCTGCTTCATTGGTTCAAACCCATTCATTAATTGATCTGTGAGAGAAAGATGAGGCTTTCTGCTCCTGTTAAGATTTACAGTCTTGGTGGTGGTGGTGGTGGTTATGTGCCGTGGAGTAGGTTCCGATTCACAGCGACCCTGTAACAGGGTTTCCAAGGCTGTAAATTTTTACAGGAGCAGAAAGCCTCATCTTTCTCCCGCAGAACAGCTGGTAGTTTAGAACTGCTGACCTTGCGGTTCACAGCCCAATTCATAACCACTAACGCTACCAGAGCTCCCTATAGTCTTGGGAACCCTGAAAAGCTCTACTCTGGCCTGTAAGGGTAGCTGTGAGTCAGAATCGACTTGATGGCAGTGAGTTCAAGCAGAATATTTAAAAAGGAAGAACTGTAAATTTCTTAGTAAGTTGTATGGTTTTGGGTTCACAACTATACACCTATATTAGCCACTAAATGCTTCAGTATTTGTTATAATCTCAAGAAAAATAATATACAGTCTCTAGTTAAAAACAGACATTGCTACCTTGTTTAGACTCTTTAAACTTTTCTCCCCTTGTACATATCATGAGCCATGAAAACTATCAAAATGAACAACTTTTAAAATAAGTGCAAAAGTAAACATGTAGAAAGAAAGGAGTTTGGGTAACAGAAAAAAAAGGTAGACAAAGGAGCAAAAAAATCAAGGAATTCAAGCCAAAGAAAGCAAAAACATATGGCAGCTTGCCACAGCACAGTTCCTCGGAATATATCAACCAACACTTACCCTGCAATGAACAGGAGGCACATGAAAATGTCTAGAAGTTGTAAACACTGAATTCACCACAACCTCGCTATCCCTACTAGGGTTGTAAGCATAGAGCATCTTTGCTGCTGGATGTCCCAGGAACCTAGGATGAAAAACAAGAAGAAAAGGTGATGCAGTGTTTAGCCATAAATATAACTGTACGTATACATGTTTCCTTAATACAGAAAGTTGTAGATATTCATGACAAATATAAAAGACACAATTATCAACTCTTGTTAATATAATGAACTATTTAATGCAGCAGAGTATAAAAATTTAACTAAAAAACATCCTTTTACAAGCCTTATTAAGCATGGTGGCTCCCTACAGTAAGCACTGGATTGCAGTTTGAGCAAGACAGCCACTCTGCAGGAGAAAGATGAGGCTTTTGCTCCCAAAGAGAGTTAAAGCCTTGGAAACCCTACACAGGCTCACTGAGTTGCAACTGATTCGACGGCACATAAATAACAAACCAGCCTTATGCCAAGCCACAGTAACATCCCACTGGTTTTTGTGTTATAAGAATTTGACATACCTGAGCCATTGAATGTTTACAAAAAACATGCTGGGACAGACATTTTGCTGATTAGGTCTTTAATTCAAATGAAAACATGTTTTTAGATAAACTACACTCATAAAAAAAAAACAAAAAAACACCAGATTTCTCTGGATTTGTCTTCAGAGTATTAAATTTAAAGATATGTATTTAAATATATATGTAAATACATACATTGTTGTTGATGTTAAGTGCCATTAAGTTGGTTCTGATTCACATGGATTCTGTATAAGGTTTCCAAGGAGCAACTGATGGGTTTGAACCACTGACCTTGTGGTCAGTAGTCCAATGTTTATCCTACAGTGCCATACCATGACTCCACATATATATACTGTTGTTAAGTGCCATCAGGGGTACTGGTGTGGTGCTATGCGTTAATGTGCCAGACTGCAAAGCCAGTTTGAACTGCAAGATTGGTGGTTCAAGCTCACCAGCTGCTCCTCGGAAACCCTATACAGGGTCAGAAATGACTCAACGGCACTTCACAACAACAAAACAAGTGCCATCAAGTCGGTTTTGACTCATAGCAACCCTGTATAGGGTTTCCAAGGAGCGGCTGGTGCAATAACCCACAGCACCACATATACATGAAGTATGGTGGCTCTGTAAGATAAGCACTGGACGTTGAACCACTCGGTTGGCAGTTTACGCCCACCAGGTACTGGGTGGGAAAAAGATGAGGCTTTCTGCTCCTGCAAAAAGGTAAAATCTCAGAAACCTTAAACAGGGACTCTCTGAGTCCAAATGACTCGATGGCACTTAACAACAACAACAATTTATACGCATACACATTTTAAATTTTGGAGTCCTGATGCGGGGCTGTAGGATAGGCACTGGACTGCTAGCCACAAGGTTGGTGGTTCAAACCTACCAGCTGCTCCTTGGAAACTCTATGCAGTGTCACTATAAGTCAGAACTGACTTGATGGCACTTAACAACAACACTCTAATAGGACTTCTAAAGCTGCAAATCTTTATGGGAGCAGAAAACCTCTCTCTGGTGGAGAAGCTGGTGGGTTCGAACTGCCAACCTTGTGGTTAGCAGTCTAGTGCCTATCCTACAGAGCCACTGTGCTTCTGTGTGTGTGAGAGAGAGCTGTAGGATAAGCACTGGACTAGTAACCCCAAGGTCGACAGTTAAACCCACCAGTTGCTCTTGGAAGCTCTATACAAGGTCACTATGAGGTGGAACTGACTCATCAGCACACAACAACATATATATAATTTTACAGAGTTTGAAAGTTGTTATGTGCCGTGGAGTCGGTTCTGACTCATAGCGACCCTGTAAAAGGTTTCCAAGGCCATAAATCTTTACGGCAGCAGAAAACCTCCTCTTTCTCCTGCGGAACAGCTGGTAGTTTCGAACTGCTGACCTTGCGGTTCACTGACCGACTCGTAACCGCTACGCTACCAGAGTCAGAGTTTGACAGTATGTTCAAATATTGCAGTGATTGTGAGGATGATGCACAGAACTGGTCAGTGTTTTGTTCTGTTGTACACGGGGTCTCTATGAGACAGAACCGACTGGATGGCACCTAATAAAATTTCAACTCACAGAGACTCCTTTTTTGGTTAAGAGCTTAAAGGTGGAAAACTTCCATTATTGCTAAATGCTGTTCTTCTGAGAAAAATGAAAGCCCGCCAGTGTTTTCTAGCTATGGTTCTTACCTGTTTAAATCATGTGCATTTGAGAAAACTGATAAAAGCTTCTGCCTACACAAGCATGCACACATATAAAGTTTAATGTGTAATTCCCACATTCCCTCTGAACCTCAAAAAAGCACACTAATTGATGGAGGCTTTCAGATCAATTCTCTTCATCTGCAATGTAAGCTCCAGCCAAGGAATTGCAGGAGGAAAGGAGTTAGTTCCCGGGCCACCTCTTGAAACTGCCTCCAGTCCTTTCTGATTCCTACTGCCCAGTATCAAATGCTCTCTAGTTATGTTGTAACAGGTAGAAAGTCAGGAAAAAATTCACTGAAGCCATTTCTCCAGTTTTAATACCTTGCTGACAGGGACACAAATATACAGTACTCACTAGTATGGCCCCAAAATGAAACTATATTCTAAATTCAGCAAAAGAAAAAGAGAAAAAAGCAACTCATATATATTATGCCTCCATGTCTCTAATTTTATTCTTATTTCTATGATTGTAGAAATATATGCTCTTTAGGAAAAGTGAGATAAAGTCGCTTATATACAATTATACAATCAGATTTCCAAAATACTGTATTACCACTAGCAAGTTCTCAGACTCCCTTCAAGTTCTTCCTCCTACTTTTAATCATAAGTTTTATCTGAAAGTTTAATATGTCCAATGTGCATTTTAAAAAATAAGACCTTTATAGCAGTTACAAATAAAAATACACATGTGTGATTAAAATCTTGATTTTTTTATAATGACATTAGAAACTATCATACATATATATATATATATATATATATATATATATACACACACACACACACACACACACACACATACACACACACATATATATGTGATAGTTTTATAGAGAAAGAGAGAGAGGGTCAACTCAAAAATACCCCAGAGAACTAGATTTATATTTGCTTTTTTTCTCCTCAATTAAATTAAAGATTTCTGTGGTTTTAGGCTTTACGTAATTAAATTACTCAAACAGCAAAGCTAATACTTATATCCTCCAAGATTTATATTCCATTCACAGAATTGAAATACTAGATTTTGGGCTTCAAAGGATACAAATATCTCCCAAAGCAACGCTGCAAAACTGCAAAGCTACCAAGCTGCAACCACCAGGAACCTCAGCAGACCGAGCAGCAGAATGCTGGCTGAAACCTACTGACCACTGTGCTATTTTATTCTATTTTTTTAATTCTATTTTTAAAAGTGTTACGAGGATAAGAATTTCCTGCACTAGTGACAATTGGAAGACATTCTGATTAATTTAATCCTACTGAAAGAATGATTTACATATCTTTATGAATGATTGCTGTTGTTAAGTGCAATCAAGTTGGTTCTGACTCATAGTGACCCTGCATAGGATTTCCAAGGAGTGGCTGGTGAGTTTGAACCACTGACTTTGTAGCTGGGACCAGCAGAATATTAACTCTTAAAATAAGCCTTACAAAGTAGGCAGAGGGCAATGGGATATATCCTGAGTTTGCATCCTACTGTTGTTGTTAAGTGCGATTCCGACTCATAGTGACTCTGCATAGGGTTTCTGAGGAGCATCTGGTGAGCTCGATCCGCCAACATGGCAGTTCAAACCAACCTTGTAGTCCAGCAAATTAATTCATACCACCACAGAGGGAAACTAAAGCTATGAAACTATGAAAAAGACTTGGGGGGGGGGTGCCCTTTCCCAAGGTCAATGTCAAAATAAACATTATCAAAAGCTGAATTCAAGACAGTGAAAAAATCGTAACTCTCTAGCTAGAGTCTTAATCTAAATGTCTATAAATCATGCCATGTGTCAGAAGTAAAGCCTGACTAATTTAAATTATGTGTTAATCTGTTGGTGGTGGTGGTGTTAAGTGCCCTCGAGTCGGTTCTGACCCATAGCAGCCCTGTATAGGGTTTCCAAGGAGCAGCTGGTGTGAGCCTGAACCACTGACTTTGAGGTTCAAACCGACTTTGCCATCCAGCGCATTAACCCGCAGTGCCACATGTTGATGTTCTTGTTGCTATTATGTGTCGTGGAGTCGGTTCCAACTCATAGCGACCCTGCACAGGGTTTCCGAGGCTGTAAATCTTTATGGGAGCAGAAAACCTCATCTTTCTCTTGCAGAACTGCTGGTAGTTTCAAACTGCTAACCCTGAGGTTAGCAGCCCAATTCGTAACAATATACAGGGTTTGTTCTCACTGATACACATATATTTTTAATTCACAATAGTTTATTCCTATAATCGTATCCTGGATCTCATGCTGGTTACTGACTTAGAAATCAGGTTTATTCTGTCACGTCCAACGAAATGACCTTGGGCAAACCACATTACTTCACAGCAACAAATGTATGAATTTTTTCATTACACACAGATATTTGAAACAGATTCATATTCTCCCCGTGCCCCTCTGTCTGTCTGTCTCTCTCACACACACACCCATTACTACCCCTTCAGAATTGACATAGGGCTCTAATAACAAGAGACAAGACTGCAGTTTGAGAATTGTAAATCACTACATGAATATACCTAAATCATCAAAAGGGAGTTCAAATCAAAGACTTCAAACATTCTTTCAACATGTTTCCTGATGTCAACATCAGCAACTGATGTATGTAGCTAATTAAAATATGTAGCATATACCCATGTGTGTTGATTACAGGGTTTGGATGCTATAACAGAGTAAATATATGAGGGGGCTTCAAAAAATTCATGGAATTAAAAGAAAATGGACTTTCCCCACAAACTCTCTGAAGTCCCCCTCATATTATAGACATCTAGGATCAGCCTGACCCAAGCCATGGTATTTTCAATAACTTCATATGCATGCGAAAGCTGGACAGTGAATAAGGAAGACCGTAGAAGAATTGAT